GGGGAACGCGGAGTGCATGGCGGCGGTTTGGGGTGTACGTACACCTCAGATTAGGGTTTAGGGTTTCGGCGTCTGGGGCACCTGAGGGGCCCCCTGGGGCCCCGGGCGGCTGCGGGGGACCTCTGCTGCTGCTGCAGCAGACCAGTGGTCAACTGGTGGTCCACTGACACGCGGAGCTGAGGCGGTACTGCTGCTGCAGCAGCAGCAGGGGGCTCGTGGGCTCTGCGGCAGCGCAGCAGCAGCAAAACAGAAACGCCTCGTGGAGGTTATTTGCTCACTTAAAGAAACAAAATCCAAAAAATAAATTTCAAAAAAGACAGCCCAGACACTGCAAACTGCAGCGGCGAGGCCTGCTGCTCGCAGACAGAGGCGCTGGGGCCCCTGCTGCTGCTGCTGCTGCTCGCTCGGCTGCTGTGCTCTGGTATCCGTGTGTCTGCTGCAGCAAAACCGCTAAACTAATTATTAATTTATTTCTAATCTTTTAATTTTCATGTTTATAAAAAACAATAAAACAAATTAATGAACGGAGGCTTCCCCTGGCATCGCTCGGTGCGGCAGCTCCGTCGCCAGGTGTATAGGCAGCTCCGGGTGTATGTACACCTCGCAGGTCTTGTCCAAAAGAATCTAAAAATATCTTTTCGAGTTGCTGCAGCAGCAGCAGGAAAGAATCTGGAAAGAATCTTTCCCCGTTTGCGTCGCGTTGCTGGTCAGAAACAGCAGCAGCAGCAGCGGTAGCAATTGCTGCTGCTGCTGTAGCTGTAAGAGTAGTACAGCTACTGCTGCTGCTGCTGCAACAACTCCCTGCTGCTGCTGTTGCAGCAACTCCTGCTCCTGCTGCTGCAGCAGACATGCAGCTGCTGGCAGCAGACTCACAGAGAGACAGGTGGCAGTGCTGAAACCGCAGCTAGCTGCTGCAGCACGTTGCTGTTGCTGTAGGTTCTGCCGCTGCAACTTGCTGCTGCTGAAGCTTCTGCAGCTGCACGTAGCTGGTGCTGATGTTGCTGTTACCGCTGCAGCTGCTACTGCTGTAGCTGCTGATGCTGCTGCTGCAGCTCCCGTTGCTTCTGCTGCTGTTGTTTCAGCAGCAGCAGCAGCCACCGCAGCAGCAGCAGACTTGTCCCTCGAAGAGCCCAAGAGGGGTCTTTAAGAAGCCCTCAGAACCCTTTTTTAGGGTTTACGAATTAATGCAACTCCTAACAAGTGTACAGACGCTGCAAATGCACAGAAAATGCTACTTGCACAAGACACAAATACCTTTTATTTATATATTTTTTATTCATTTATTATTTATTTATTCTAGATTTAAGAACCAAAATATAATCATATCCTGTAGCTGCACCTTCCATTTATACGTGCTGCTGCAGCCTGCTGCATGCACGTGCTGCTGCTGCTGCTGCTGTTGCTTTTGCTCATCAAGTGGTGCTACAGACGAAGTATCTACTGCACGGAAATCTCTGAGTCTGTTGCCAGCGTTGCTGCTGCTGTTGCTGCTGCTCTGTTGCTGCTGCTGCTGCTCCGTTGCTGCCAGTACACTAGCAGCAGCAGCAGCAGCATGGCAGCTGCTGCAGTACTTGCAGCAGCAGCGGAAGCAACGGAGACCCCGCGCACGCCGCTGCTGCTGCGTCGCAGCAGCAGCAGCAGCTACCTGAGGCCTTAAAGTTGGGATTGAATTAATTAGAATAATCAGAAAAGACAAAAGACAAAAACAAGAAAAAAGAAACTCCTTTCATTCCCTTCAAATCACAAACCAGCCCTAAAACGCATGCAGCATGCATGCAGCTCAGGGGTAATTGCAAGGGCCTACGAGGCCTCTGCTGCAGCTGCAGCTGCTGCTGCTGCTTCTTTTGCAGTGCTGCTGCTGCAGGGCTACTTCTGCAGGACTGCTGCCACGATCGCGCGACGTGTTGCTGTGCCGTCTGCTGCTGCTGCTGCTGCTGCTGCTGTTGCTGCTGCCAGCGCACAGCTGCTGCTGCAGCTGGCCTCCCTCGCAGCAGCAGAAGCACTTCCTCGGGAGCTATTTGCAATTATCAATTTTAAACTGTCCCTAAAAACGACAAGGAGACGCACCAGCAGCTGGAGCAGCACTACTCAATCTTGCACTCACAAATTGACTAATGCGTAGGCTGCTGCTGCTGCTGTTGCTGCTGCTGCTGCTGCTGCTGATCCGGTGCTGCTGCGGCTGCTGCTGCAGTGCTGCAGCTGTTGCAGTGCCACCGTTGCTGCTTCGCCATTGCTGCTGCTGCGCGGTTGCTGCTGCTGCTGCATTCTTGCAGGATTAACGTGCGCGTTTTCGTTTTGCTGCTGGTTCTTTTGTGTCTTTTGCTACTTCTTTATGTGCTGCTGCTTCCTTTTGCTTCTTGTCTTTTGTCTCTATTTTTCTTTTCTTTTTGTCTTCTTTTGCATCTGCTGCTGTCTCTCTTTCTTTGCTGCTGCTCTTCTCCGCTGGCTGCTCCTGTCCCTTCCTGCTGCGCTTCGCTCGGGTATTGGGCTCCTGCTGCTGCTCCTGCTGCTGCTGCTGCTTTGCTGCTGCGTCTTCGCCCCCCTTAGAGGCCTCCTTGCCGTTTGTTTTGCTGCTCTTTTCTTTTCTGCTTCTTCCCTTTTCATCCTTCGCTGTTTGCTGCTTCTCTTGCCCTTCTGCTGCTTGCTTGCTGCTGGCCCCAGCAGCAGCAGCAGCAGCAGCAGGAGCGTCTTTGGGGGTCTTGTGTCTCTTGCCGCCCTTCTCCGGCTCTTCCGCTGCTTGCTTGCTGCTGCCCTTGCTGCTCTTAGCAGCAGCAGCAGCAGCAGCAGCATCAGGCCCTGGGGAAGCCTGTCTTTTGCTTTTTCCGGGTGTGGGGACTTTTCTTTTTTTGAATTCTCCTGTGTCTCTATTTGCTTCTTTTGCTGTTTCTTTATTTGCATCCTTTTTTGCTTCTTTGGAATTTCTTTTTATTTCTTTTGCTCCTTTAGTTCCCTTTTTGTTTCTTTCTCTCTTTGATTCCGGGCTGCTGCTGCTGCTGCGGCGGCGGCTGCTGCTGCTGCGGCGGCGGCTGCTGCTGCTGCGGCCCCTGCCGCGTCCTCCACTGCCCTCACTCTTCGTGCTGCTCTTCTTCCCTGCTGCTGCTGCTGCTGCTGCTGCTTTCCTGTCCGTCGCTTCTGGGGAGCTGCTGCGCCTGCTGGAGCCTCTGCTGCCTCTGCTGCTGCTGCGTCTGCTGCCTTCGCTGGCCCTGCTGCTGCTGCGGCTGCTCTTGCTGTTGCGGCTGCTGCTGCGGCTCTTGCTCGCTGCTGCTGCTGCTGCTGGACTCTCGCTCGCACTTCTCTCTCTGCTTCGGCCCCTGTTGCTGCTTCTCTTGCTGCTGCTGCTGCTGCTCCTGCTGCTGCCCTTCACGCTGCCCGGCTTGCTGTTGGCTTGGGGGCTGCCGCTGCGGCTTCTGCTGCCGCTGCTGCTGCGGCTGTTGCGGTTGCTGCCGCTTCTGCTTCTGCGGCTGCTGTTGCTGCCGCTGCGGCTGGTGCTGTTGCTGCCTGCTTCTCTTTTGGGGCTGCCGCCCTCGCTGGCACTTCGCTTGCCATTTGCTGCGCTGTTGCTGCGGCTCCTGCTGCTGCTTTCGCGGCCCTTGCTGCTGCTGCTGCTGCGGCTGGGGCTTCTCTTGCTGCTGCTACGGCTGGGGCTCCTCTTGCTGCTGCTGCGGCTAGGGCTCCTGCTACCGCTTGCTGCTACGTTGCCGCTTGGGCTTCGGCTCCTTTTGCTGCTGCTGTTGCTGGGGCTTCGTTTGCTGCTGCTGTTGCTGGGGCTCCGTTTGCTGCTGCTGCGGCTGGGGCTCCTGCTGCCGCTTGCTGCTACGCTGCCGCTGCGGCTTCTCTTGCTGCTGCCGTGGCTGGGGCTCCGTTTGCTGCTGTTGCGGCTGGGGCTTCGTTTGCTGCTGCTGGGGCTGGCGCTGCGGCTTCTGCTGCCGCTGCCGCTGCGGCTCCTGCTGCGGCCGCGGCTGCGGCTTCTGCTGTTGCTGCGGCTGCTGCTGTCTTTGGGGTCCGGGCTCTTGCTGTTGCTTCTGCTGCGGCTGCCGCCGGGGCTTCTGTTGCTGCCAGCAGCGCTCTCCTTGCTGCTGCTGCGACTCTTGCTGCTGTTGCGGCTTTTGCTGCTGCTGCTTCTCTTGCTGCTGCCGCTGTTGCTGCGGGCAGCGCTGGGGCTGTGCTGCCTGCTGCCTTCAGCGCCGTTGCTGCCGCTGCGGCTTCTGCTGCCGCTGCTGCGTTCGCTGCTGCTGTTGCTTGTGGACCTTTTGCTGCCGCTCCCGCTGCCGCCGGGGCTCCTCTTGCTGCCGCTGCCGCTCCTGCTGCGGCTGCGGCCTCTCCTGCTGCTGATGCTGCTGGGGCTGCTGCTGCGGCTCTTGTCGCCGCCAGGGCTTCTGCTGCCATCCGGCTGGTCTGTGGCCATGGGGCTGTTGGAGCGTTTGCTGCTGTTGCTGCTGCGGCTGCGTTTGCTGGCGTTGCTGGGGCTCTTTTTGCTGCTGCTGCCGCGGCTTTTGCTGCTGCTACTCCTCTTGCTGCTGCTGCGGCTCCTCCTGCTGCTGCCGCCCTCACTCCTTTCGCTTCTGCTGCTGGGGCTCCTGCTTCTGCTGCTGCCCTTTGCGCTGGCATTTGGGCTGCTGCTGCGGCTCTTGCTGCTGCCCTTCGCACTGGCCTGCGGGCTGCCGCTGCGGCTTCTGCTGCTGCTGCTGCGTTTGCTGCTGCTGCTGCTGCGTCTGCTACTGCGGCTGCGGCGGCCAGCGCTCCCGCTGGGGCTCCTGCTGCCGTGGCTCCGTTTGCTGGCAGCAGCACTCTCCCTGCTGCTGCTGCGGCTGCCGCTGGGGCTCCTGCTTGTTGCTGCTGCTTCTGCTGCTGCTGCACTCGGGCTGCGGCTCGCGCTGTGCTTGCTGCTGCGGCTGGGGCTCCTGCTGGGGGCTTCTCTGTTGCTTGAGTGTCTGCTGCTGCTGCGGCTGCGGCTCCTGCTGCGTCTGCTGCTGCCTTTGCTGCTGCTGCGGCTGGCCCTGCTGGCAGCGGCAGCACTGGGCGCGTTGCTGCTGGCCCTGCTGGAGGCGCCGCTGGCCGGGCTCTTTGCTGCTGCAGCATCTCGGCTTTTGCTGCTGCCTCTACTGCTGCTGCCTCTGCTGGTGCTGCTGCTAGCCTTGCTGGCAGCAACACTTAGAGCTTTACTGCTGACTCTGCTGGCTCTGCTGGAGGCGCGGCTTGCTGGGTTGCTTTCTGCTGCTGCATTCCTGCTGCTGCTGCTCCTCCCGCTGCTGCTGCGGCTCCTGCTGCGGCAGCCGTTGCTGCTGATGGCAGATACAGAGCGGCGGCCGTTTCTGCTGCCGTTGCTGCTGCTGCTGCGGCTCTTCCTGCTGATTGAGCTGGGGCTGTTGCTGCGGCTTGCTGCAGCGGGGCTGCCCTTGGCACTTGCTGCTGCTGCGGCACTGTCTCTTCCTCTGCTGCGGCTGCTGCTGCGGCTGCGATGGCTCGGGCTGCTGCCACGAGAAGGTGCAGCAGCAGGGCTGGCGCTGTGAGCCTCGCTCCTGCTGCCGGCTCTGCTGCTGCGTCTGCTGCTGTGTCTGCTGCTGCGTCTGCTGCTGCGTCTGCTGCTCGCCCTAGACAGCCTGGACGCCGAGGGGCTGCGGCTAGCCTCATCTGCTGCTGCTGCTGCTGCTGCTGGCTCCGCTGCTTCTGGGTGGTCCACGCTCATGCTTCTGCGGGGGCTTGCTGCTGGCGAGCCGCGTCTGCTGCTGGCTCTGCTGCTGCGTCTGCTGCTGGCTCTGCTGCTGCGTCTGCTGCTGGCTCTGCTGCTGCGCCTGCTGTTGGCCCTGCTGCTGCTTCTCCTGCTGCGGCGGTGGTGGCGGCTGAAGCAAAAGACAAAAAGGAGACAAAAGTAAGAAAAGAAAAATGCAGAAAAAGACAAAGAAGACGAGCTAAAAGAATAAGAAATGCAAAAAATTCTGGCAACACAAAGCCACACAAAAACAGCAGCAGCAGCAGCAGCAGTAGCAGCAGCGTGGGGCACCTGTGTCTGCGCTTTTTTCTATGTTTTTTGTGTTTCTTTTTATCTTCTTTTGCTTCTCCTTCTGCATTTTGCAGCAGCCTTTTATTCATGTCTTTTAAATCCAAAAAGTAAACTCTCCGAGAATCTCCCATGATGAAGCAGCTCTGCAAAAATGCAAAAAACAGAAAAAAGAATTTCAAAAGAAACAAAAAACAGCAATTAAAGAACAGAACGAACAAAACAACACCAAAGTAGATTCAATTAATTAAATTTAATTTAATTAAATCAATTAATTTATTTGATTTGATTTATTTATTTAGTTTTCGCACTCTTTGTTCATTCAAAGCCAGCCTTTCATCTCCAGGCTTCAGCAAGGTTCCTTCTTGCTGCTGCGGGGCCCAGCGGGCCCATTCGTCTTTATGTTTAGCAGCAAAAGCAGCAGTGCTGCGGCGGCTTCTTTTGCGGCGTTTGCTGCTGCTGCTGTTGCTGCTGGCCTCTGCTGCTGCAGCAGCAGCAGCAGCAGCCTTCACCGACTCCGGCAAAAATGGCACACTTTTGTTCAGCAGCAAACGAGTTGAGCCCCCCAGGGGAACCAAAAAGAAACATCCTCCTTGCTGATGCAGCTGCCGCGTGGAAAAGTAAACTGCGCACTGCTGCCCCGCCACGCTATTCTGCAGCAGCAGCAGCAGCAGCACAGCAGCAGCGGCAGCAGTACAGCAGCAGCAGCGAGTTGTTACCGTGCGGCTCGCTGGTTCGAAGTGTTTAAAGTCAACGGCAAAATGGGACGGAGGGATGGGAGATGCTCAGCAGCAAGCAGCCATAAACGGCTGCTGCTGCTGCTGCCGCTGCTGCTGCTGCTGCTGTGGCTGCTGCTGCCCGGTATGGAAGAATGCTAGGTGCTGTTTTTGGTGCTTCTAGTGCTAGGCCTCACGCTTAATAAACTGACAGACACGGCTAAAACTGCTGCTGCTGCTGCTGCCGTTGCTGCTACTGCTGTTCCTGCTGCTGCTGCTGCTGACTCACGTGGTTGTCTATGATGTTAGCGAGTTTGTTGCTGCTGCCAAACAGCAAATGTGTCCCTGTGAAAGGCACGCGAGCAAACTCCTGAAAAGCAGCAGCAGCAGCAGCAGCAGAAGCGTCAGCAGCAGCAGCAACAGCAGCAGCAACAGCAGCAAAAGTATGGAAAGCAGCAGAAGACATGACACGAAAAAAGCATCAGAAGGATGGAAAGAGACAAGAAAGAGCAGCAAAAAAGGGACAAAAAAGGAACAAAAAGGAAACAAGAAAGAAACGAAAAATAAAAAAAGAGACAGAGAAGGCACAAAAGCGGCGGAAAATGGTGAGACAAGAAACAAACAAAAAGAGTTTCAAAAAGGAACAAAAAAGACTTTCAAAAAAGAAACAAAAAGGAAACAAAGTTGTCATGAAAAGACAAAAACAGGGCCTAAAAATCTCCAAAAGATCCCCAAAGAACCATTTAAAAGAGCTTTTGAAAGAGTCTTAAATACACCATTAAAAAGGTTTTAGAAAGCTCAAGAAGATGCTTGAAAAGCTGTTCTAAAAGCTCTTTAAAAAGCTGTTTAAAAATAACTTAAAACAAAAACGAACTTGTCCATCTTCGAAAATGGTTACGCTGAAAAGACCCGCAGGCGGAGGCGTCGCTGTGGGCGGGCAGCGATAAGCCCCCACTGTCAAAGCTGCAAAAAAAGAAATAAAATAAATAAATTAAATTAGATTAATTAAATTAATTTAATTAATTTAATTAATTTAATTAATTTAATCAAATTAAATTAATTGAATTAAAGTAATTAGATTAGTAATTGGACTAATTCATTGGTTGGGGTGGGGAGAGGGAAGGGGTGCAAAAGAGAAAACGAGAAAGGAGAAATTAAAAAAATAAAAAATAAAACTAAAATAAAATAAAAAATAAAAATTAAATTAAAATCAAATTAAAATTAAATTAAATTAATTGAAAAATAAAAAAGAATTAAAAGAAGACAGAAGAAAGGAACGGATATATGTCAGAAGAGAAAAAGAAAAAAAGAAATTAAAGAACAACTGAGAGAATTCAAAACAACAAAGATAGTTTGACAGAATTAAAAAAGAATTAAAAAGAATTCAATTTTGAAAGAATTAAAAACAACTAAAAATAATTCAAAACAATTAAAAACGTTTAGAGGCAATTCCAAATAACTGGAGACAAGATAGAACAAGAAAATGAAAAAAGCCAAAGACAAAAAGAGACAATTAAAGAAAATTGAAGAATTAAATACGCTAAAAAACAAAAAGAGTTGAAGACAGAAAAGAACAAATTTAAAAACTTTTAGAAGATATTTAAATGAGACAATTCTCATAAACAAAACCTTCACAAAAACGAAATAAAGAAGCAAAAAAGAGTCCAAAAGAAACAATTAAGGCCCCCAAGGGGCCCCCGAAGGGGCGGGCCCCCAAGGGGCCCCCAAGGGGCCCCCAAGGGGCCAGGGAACCCCCAGAGGGGCCCCCAAGGGGGTCCCTCAGAGGGGCCCCGTTGCTGCTGCTGCTGCTGCTGCTTACTTTCGCAGTTGAGAACTCCTTTCATTTTTTCCTGGTCTTCCCTCCTGGCTTCCCCAAGACCCTGCGGCTGCTGCTGCTGCTGCTGCTGCTGCTGCTGCTGCTGCTGCTGCTGGTCCTGCGAGCCCTGCAGCTTCAAGCCAATTGTGGTTCTTCCTGCCATTCTTTGCTTTCTTCTATAATTGCTAATTGCTTCTCTTGCTGCTTCTCTAAATATCTCATCTGTCACTGTTGTCAAAATTTCTGTCACAACTTCTTTTATTTGCTCCACCAAAGGGGGCAAAGGGGACCCCTGGGGGCCCCCCGGGGGCCCCCCGGGGGCCCCCCCCGGGGGCTTTCCCAGGGGGCCCGCGGGGGCCCCTTGGGGGGCCCCTGGGGCGCCCCCTACAGGAGGGGCCCCCCCGGGGGCCCCCTGGGGGGCCCCCTCAGGAGTACCCACTACTGCCCCTGGAGAAGCCTCGCGAGGGGAATTGGCCCCGTGGGAAGAGGGAGTTAGCAGTTGGCCACCTGCGTAAACCCTAAACCCTAAACCCTAAACCCTAAGCCCTAAGCCCTAAAGCCTAAGCCCTAAACCCTAGAGTCTGATCTCTGAAGGTTGTGGGCTGAAGGCACGCAGAGGCTGCAGTGCAGCACATGGAGACCCTGGGAGGCCACAACACACTCAAAACCCTAAACCCTTAACCCTAAACCCTAAACCCTACCTTCTTCCTTTTCGTCTCCTTCTTTCCCCTCTTTATTTGCCTTCTTTGTATTTGCTTCTTTAACAACATCTCGGAGCCACTGGGGTATAGCTTTGGGGCCCCGGGGGCCCCCAGAGTCGCCGCTGACTGTTGCTGCTGCTGCTGCTGCTGCTGCTGCCGATGCTGTTCCTGCAGCAGCAGACGCGCAGCAGCAAGAAGACACGTTGGAAGAAGCGAACTAAAATAAAAATAAAAATAAAATAAGAATAAAATAAAAATAAAACAAAATAAATAATAAAAGCAAACTAAATGAGGGGCCAATAAACTAGAAGGCTACGGAGCAGCAGCAGCAGCTGCTGCTGACCTGTGTGCGCATTGGCTCCATCTGTTGCTGCTGCTGCTGCTGCTGCACCTCCAGCAGCAGGAGCAGCAGCAGCATTTGGCAAGAACCCCGAAGAGATCCCCGCCAAGAAGGAAGGGGGGCCCCCCTGGAAGCTCCCCGGGGGTGGCGGGGGCCCCATGCCGGGGACCCCCATGCCGGGGGCACCCATGCCGGGGCCCCCCATGCCGGGGGCCCCCATGGGGGGCCCCCCGAGGGGCCCCGGCCCCATGGGGGGCCCCATGGGGGGAGGGGGCACGCCCATGGGGGAGTGCATGGGGAGGGGCCCCTGGTAGGGGTGGGGGGGCCCCCCCTTGGGGCCGCCCGGGTACTGCGGGGGGGCCCCCAGGGGCCCCCCGGGAGGGTGGAGGGGCCCCCGGGGCCCCTGAGGGCCCCCCGGCCTGCTGCTGTCCGCTGTTGCTGCCATCTGCACTGCTGCTTGGGTGGCTATGAGGGCCATGAGGGCTGTGGGGCCCTGTTCTGAAGTTTTGCTGCTGACCCACGCAGAAGCTTGTTTGGCCCAAAAGGCATCACTCTCCGAGGCCCTTTCTTGAGGCTGAGGGCTCACTGAGCGAGACCCTGAGCTTCTAGAGGAGACGGAGGGGCCCCTGGGGGCCCTTCTGGCTTCGGGGGCCCCCCGGGGGGCCGCCGAGGGGGGGCCCCCGGGGGCCCCGGGAGCGGGGGCCCCTGACCCGCCCTTCCCCTGGGGGCCCCCAGGGGCCCCCGGAGAGCCCCCAGATGCAGAACCCTTTGGCGGGGCCCCCAATGAGGTGCTGGAGGGGCCCCCCGGGGGGCCCCCTGGGGGAGGAGTTCTGTGCCTTTTGGCTTTCTTCTTTGAACGGCCATCTTCCCCCCCGCGGCGCCTGCGGCTGCTCGCCATTTGCGCATATGTCTGCAAAGCCTAAAGCCCAAACCCTAAACCCTAAACCCTAAACCCTAGGAAGTGCGCCGCAAGCTGCGCCAGACCCTGAAGCAGCAGCCAAACCCTAAACCCTCATGCGGCCTGGCTCGCTGCAGCGGCAGTGGGGGCTGCTGCGTCTCAGTGGGACCTGCTGCTGTTAGGGTTTAGATCTACGCGGAACCTAAATGGATCAATTCGAAATAAATAAATGCAAAAAGAAAAGAAAACAAAGACTTGGCGGGGCAGCTGCAGTGACACCCGAGCCGCAGAGCAGCGGCGGCTGGGGCTGGGCCTCACGCGGAACTTGCTGCAGTCCACGCTGCGGAAAATTCAGCAATTAGTTCGGATATTTGGACTTATTTTTGCAGTTTTTTCCACCATTTATTCTAAAGATTCAAAGCCAAATAAAACAAGTCTATTACCCCGCGAAAAACGGCCTGCACGCCGCAGCAGCAGCGCTAGAGGCCGAGGGGAAACGCCCAGGGCACCCAGCCGCGCAACTGCCTGCCTTTGCCGCTTTTTGCTGCTTTTTATACCTCCATTTCTCCAGGAAATCCAATTAAAATAAGGAAAAGAAAAAAATTAACAAATTTGCAAAGTTTAAGGCTCCTAATTTGGCCATTTGCTGCTGCACCAACGCCTCCTGCTGCTGCTGCTGCTGCTGCTGCTCTTCCCCCCCGAGCGGAGAACTGCAAAAAGACAGCGCCGCGCGCCCCCCCTTCTTCCCCGAATTCTACAATAATCAAGTCCAATTTAATTCTAAATTATTTTATTTATTCATTTTTCACTTTCTTCCCAAAGTCCCGCCCCAGGCAGCACCCGCCGCCGCTCACGCTGCTCCACCCCAGCCTCCAATGCCCCTTCATTGAGAGGCAGCTATTAGGGTGCCCCCCATCCAGCATTACATAATTAGGACCCCCTAAGGGGCCCCTTAGGGGCCCCCAGGGGCCCCCGGAGGGGCCCCCAGGAAACCCCCCAGGGGCCCCGGGGGGCCCCGGGGGGTCCCCAGAACGCGCGGAGGGGACCCCAGGAGGACCCCGGAGGGTGGCCCGGAAAGCCCTCAAGGGGGACCTTTGGGGCTAGGGTATAGGGTTTAGGGTTTAGGGTTTAGTGTTAGCTGCTGTACGAGACAAGCTCTCCTGTACAAGGGTCAACTAACAGCGAACTGGGTAGCTCACAAGCCCTAAACCCCAAACCCTAAACCCTAAATTGGGCTTATAAACCCTGGAAAGTCCAAAGAGCAGTGTAAAGAGGACTTGGTGAACTCTACGCATCCCTGCCAAACCCTAACTCTAAACCCTAAACCCTAAACCCTAAGCTTTAAACCATCTGTTACTGCCAGAAGGCCCGCCAAGGCACTAGCTACCCGCGCTTTTGCCCTGCGAACTTCGACTGAACTGGCAAGCTAGCTGTTAGCGGGCCAGCCGACTAGCTAGCTAGCCAGCTAGCTAGCTAGCTAGCCAACAACAGGCTAGCCAGCGGCTAGCTAACCTAGGCATCTATCGGCTGGATGCGCGGCAGCTAGCCTGTTGCTAGCTAGCTGCTAGCTAGCAGCAAGCTAGTAGCTAGCTAGCAGCAGGCTAGCAGCAAGCTGGCAGCTAGCTAGCAGCTAGCCAACAGCTAGCTAGCAGCTAGATAGCCAGCTGTTAGGATTTCGCGTGTGGTCAGCTCCCAACTGCATGCAACTTGCTGCCCAATGCGCGTTCTCGGAGCCGTTTTGGTAAACCCTAAACCCTAAACCCTGTTTTGTAAACCCTGAACCCTAGCCCCGACCCCCTCAGCCATCTGCTTGCGCCCAACGCTATGAAGCAGCCAGCAGCAGCTAGCTAACTAGCTAGCTGCTGTTGGTACCTAGGCATCTAGCTAGCTACCTAGCTAACCAACGAATGTGCTAGCTAGCTAACTAGCTAGCTGGCTAACTGACTAACTGGCTAGCTGGCTAGCTAACTGACTAGCTAGCTAGCCAACTGACTAGCTAGCTAACTAGCTAACTAGCTAGCTAGCTAGCTGGCTGCTGCATTAGAGCGCAACTACTCTCGTTTAAAAGCTGCTTCGGCCTTCGCTTTGCTGTTGGCTAGCTGGTGGCTAGCTAGTGGAAAGCTGGTGGCCAGCTGGTGGCTTTCTGGGGGCTAGCTGGTAGCTAGCTGGTAGCTAGCTGGTAGCTAGCTGGTAGCTAGCTAGCTGGTAGCTAGCTGGTGGCTAGCTGGTGGCTAGCTAGCTGGTAGCTAGCTGCTAGCTCGCTGGAGGCGCTTAAAGCGAGTACCTGCAGTCGTTAGTTGCGCTGGGCTGCTGCTGCAGCTGGTTACCGGTGGCTAGCTGCAGCAAGCTAGCTGTTGCAAGCTAGCTGCAGCAAGCTAGCTGCAGGGCTAGCTGCAACTAGCTGCAGCTAGCTGCAGCTAGCTGCGGCTATCTTGATGCAGCTAGCTTGCTGCAACCAGCTGCAGCTCGCCGCTGCAGCCTTTACGGCTTCGCTGCCAGCAGCAGCACTAATGCGGCTCGTGCGCATACAGCTGCAACGTCAGCAGCAGCAGCAGAAGCTGCAACAGCAGCAGCGCCTACTGCAGCAGCAGCAGAAGCTGCAACAGCAGCAGCGCCTACTGCAGCAGCAGCGGAAGCTGCAACAGCAGCAGCGCCTACTGCAGCAGCAGCAGAAGCTACAACAGCAGCAGCGCCTACTGCAGCAGCAGCAGAAGCTGCAGCAGCAGCAGAAGCTGCAGCAGCAGCAGAAGCTGCAGCAGCAGCAGCGCCTACTGCAGCAGCAGCAACAGCTGCAGCAGCAGCAGC